TGGGAAGGGGATGGGTGCAAGGAGCGGTTTGTCTCTGGGGGATGATGTGATGCTGGCAACCCTCTGGGCACCAGTGAAATCGCCGAGTGGAGGGGATAAAGACCTTCCCTCCTCCTCACTGCTAGACTTCAGCCCAGGTTCTTTTGTTTTCTTTTGCTTTATTGTTGGTTTTTGTTTTGGTTTTGGTTTTTTTTTAAATTTGAAGCAGTGAAACAGAGCACAAAATGTATTCCAAACAAACTCCTCTCTATGCAACGGGGCACAAAAACCTCCCTGGCACAACAAGGGATACAAAGGATCTGAAATACCTACTGGTCACAGTTGAAGCCCATATTTCCCCGTACTGCGCAGGAACTTGCTCTCGTAAGGAGCTGCCGTTAAGCCCTGCAGTTTGTCCGTCTCCCGGAGGCGTTTCCCATCGGAGACGCATTTGCTGCAAGAACAAGCATCCACGATACAGCTCCAGCAGCACAAAGAGGGGCTTCTGGCTGCTGGTACATGATGCCTGCCAGCCTGGTGGTGCTTTTGGGATGCTCTAAAGCTACCCTGAAGCAAACAGCAGCCTCTGGTCGCAGGTTGCGAAGCCCCGGGAGGGGAAGGCAGGGGCTGGAAGTGCGGAGGTGGCGGTGAAGGAGCTGAACTGTTTGACAAGGGGTGGAAACATAAGAATGGGCTTCTTGCTAGTATCGTACTTCAGACCCTGACCAAGCACTTCTGCAAAAGATTTGGGCTTTATTGAATTTTACCCAGGCCAAGTCCTTCTGCTAATGTTTTTGCCATGTCTCACCATGGCATCCTGGTTTGGGTTTTTTTTGTTTTCTTTTTTTTTTACCCCCCCGTTATAATTTTGTTCTTGATTTTTCGGTGTGACTTGTTGTACTCTATGACAATAACCTTCTTAGCTCTAATGTCCCTCCTACCCCTCAGCAGTTGACCAAGCTCCACCAGTTGGCTATGCAGCAAACCCCCTTTACTCCCCTTGGACAGACCACCCCCGCTTTCCCTGGTACGTACCCACATGCCCTTTCTAGATATCCTTCTCTTCTTACCTCGTAGACTTTCTCTCTCTTTCTAAACTCACGCTATTTAACGGAGACAAGCAGGGCAAGTCAAACTCAAGTTGCAGTATCCATGGGGAAAGGCTAACAGGGAGACAGGATGGATTTTGGGGGGTTACGGTGCTTACGGGCGAGCTCTCAGCCATTAACCATGCACGCCTGGATTGCTCCTGCAAAGCCACGCTTGCCTCACTCCCAGCTTTGCTGGCTTTCCCAGGAGAAGCCATGACTGCCAGTCCCATCCTTCCCTCCCCAGAGGAGGTAGCATCCCCCGCTGGGCACTGATCCAGACCCCGGTGGGACATCCCCGCTTGCCTGCGTGGAATGACTCGGCGCCAGCCGGGGATGCTGTGATGGGAAGGAGCCACGTTGCTGGGAGGACAGCCGGCCCCGGTGTGGCTCAGCAGCTTTGTCCCCAAGGCTGGCATTTTTCCTGGTGACCTGGGAAACAGATAGAGCACAGGGGATGGAGATACTTAAAGTACTTTTGTTTACTCGGTGGTCAAAGTGCCGGTTGGAAATGCCTTTTTTTGACAGTATGTTCATCATATTTTGAGCTTCCTAGATGAAGTGACATTGCTTATCTCCTCGAAGGCAAAAGCATTAAACCTGTTTCTTCTTTGCTCTTCAGGAGAAAAGCTGCCCTTACATTCCTCCGAAGAAGCTCAAAATCTGATGGGCCAATCATCAGGTAAAACACAAAGCTTACAGGGAAATAAGCCGGCTTGTGTCGAAATATATTTCTTAAATAGGACTTGTGCCATTGTTGTGCTCCTAGAGAAACGGTGGTGTTTGCGGAGAAGACGGCAGGTTTTCTTGGCAGGCACGGCGAGTGCAGGCAGCACCGTTCCTGCTGTTCTCCTTCGTACAGCATGTCAAAAAAAAAAAAAAAAAAGCCTGGAATTTATTGCCTAGTTTTTTGCTGTTTGCGTATAACTGCCATCTGTGTAACGGAAAGACATCAGAGTTGTCATCCTTATTTTTTCATTTAATTTTGCATAAACTTTGCTCAGAAACAGTAGAAAAAAAACGCCTGCGGGAACAGCAATGACATGATGCAAGTTTAGCCATCTCTAAGCCATTCAGAGCGAGCTGCGTTTTTAGTGGGACAGGGCCCTGAGGAGCCAAAGCACAGCCATAATCTTGGAGAAATTTTGATGGCAAATGTCCTGCCTGTTCATCCATATGTGCTGAATGTGCTTATCTTTTATAACCTCCCATTGCTTACAGGAGTTATCCTGAGACCTGGCAGCTCACCAGCGATGTGAGCCAGACAAGGTACATCCTCCAGAGAGCCTGGGTACATTGCCCGACTCTGAAAGCAAACGTAGCCCAAGAAAATAAACCCCACACCACCACAGCAGATCTAGATTTCATGATACCAACCTGCGCAGCCTTGTTTTCGGCGTGCCCTGCTTTGCCCTTTGCAGTCAAACAAGGCACTAATCCTGCCCTGATCCCCCCACATCACAGCTGTGGGGACTGCACGTGCGTAGCAGAGAGGGAGGATCTGGGATGCTAAAATAAGTGATCTCCAGGTAATGGAGAAGGATGTGGCCATTCCTCGATGGCCATCGTGATGCAGGGGGTGATGCAGCGCCAGTGATGCAGGGGGAGATGTGGTGTCAGTGGTGCAGGGGGTGATGCCCTGGCAGTGATGCAGGGGGAGATGTGGTGTCAGTGGTGCAGGGGGTGATGCAGCACCAGTGATGCGGGGGGGATGCAGCACCAGTGATGCAGGGGCGATGCAGCACCAGTGATGCGGGGGGGATGCAGCACCAGTGATGCAGGGGCGATGCAGTGCCATGGCACCGTGTGCCCCGTGGGCTTTCAGCAGCACCTGTGGCATCTGAGCACGGGTCTGGGGGCCCTCGCCTTCATTTCCAAAGACCCCTGGGTTCCTCAGTGCTGCTCTGAGCCCATCCCCAGCACTCTGCTCCCTTCAGAAGACATTCTCTGCCATCCCCAGGCTTCTACTAAGCTGAGCCTTATATTGCATGGCTGAGAGATGGGGACACTCGCACCTGGGGGACATTTCTTTGTGTTATGCGCAGTCTATGTGTCCCTAGACTATGACAGGGCTTGGCGTGAAAGACAGTCCAGGGCTGGTGAAATGTCTCTTCCAGTGCAGCGTGCTATAAAGTCAGCATTAAGCATCGCCCAGTGCGTAAAACCTGGGCAGGAGCTGGTTTGTGCAGGCTTTGGGATTAGGACACCCAGCAGCAGTGAAGGAGGGCGTAGGGCTGCTGAGTGGAGGATTTTCATCCCCTTTCCCTGCCTTTCTGTGCGCTCTCGGGTGAAAAAACATGGTAGAGACACCTCCTGCAAGCAGGCGTTGCGTCTTAGTAAGGGAGGTGCACATGAGAAAGCGCAAGAATGATGCAAGAGACAGTTGAGGATACCTGATATTCTCCTTTCTAGGAGCAATGCTCAAATGAGTTTGCAACCTAAGGCTTCATTTTAGGATTTTAGAAATCTTGCTGGTACCCAGACAGACATCAGTTCATCTGGGGTTTAAAACCTGGGTGACTGTTGCTGGCAAAACTGGACGGGAGCTCCTCTCCTGCAGTGTGGAAAGCCTCGATGGAAATGCTGCAGAACTCGGCCGTTGCTTGGAGGAGTTGCTCAGCATGGTTGGGGCAGTGGCATCGTGTCATGCAGTGTGAGGAAGCCCAGCAGGGTTGGGTGGCAAGGAATTCAGTGCTGTCTTGTGTTGTAGCAGCCCAGCACTTCCCATCTTCTTATGCTTCTTTTCTCTGCACCCTCTTACTCTGCACAAGTGTCTTGGACTCTTGCACATACCACTCTTAAAAGCCTTCCTTGGTAGTTTATATCATACAGAAAAGGAGGTTTTTTTGAGGTTACTGCAAATTCCTGTTAGGCACAAAGCTTCTGTCTTGCAGACTTGACGTAGGACATCCCTGCTTCAGCATGGAGCTGATTTAAGATGGAAATATAGAAATATATACTATGGAAACTTTTGGGGGAGGCAGGTTTCAGCCTGGCCTGAGAGCGCTATGGTGTGCTGTCCTCTCACCTCTGGAGCTGCTCACACAGGGTAGCCTGACTCCAGCCTTTCCCACCATGGAGGACAATGTCCTCCTTGGCCCAGGAGACACTGTGAGGAAGCATATGGAACAGGTTGCCCAAAGGTTCCAGGTTGCACTGGCCCAGGTTGCCCAGAGAAGCTGTGGATGCCCCATCCCTGGAGGGGTTCAAGGCCAGGCTGGATGAGGCTTTGAGCAACCTGGGCTGGTGGGAGGTGTCCCTGCCCATGGCAGGGGGATTGGAACTCAGTGATCTTTAAGGTCCCTTCCAACCATTCTGTGATTCTATGATATTGCTGCCGTCACCCCTCGCTGTGTAAATTTGTAAGGAAGTAGGCTTTAAATCTCCGTACTGTTTGCCTTGCTTTCCCTTGGGAGTCAGAGAGATCATCTGTCTTGGGTCTAGCTAGCGTGCATGTCTTAGCAGTCTGGCTTAAATTCAGTGTTCAGTTCTGGGGTGCTCAAACTTGCAAAGGGCTTTGCAGGCTGCCCTGCTCTAGCATTGCTGGGTCGCCCAGGGAAACCAGTTTTGGGGCATCGAGCTGTTCTTGGAACCAAGAGGTTCTGTGCTGCTGTGTCCAGAGAGGGCTGGAGGGTGCATGGGCAGCCCTCCCGCTGCCAGGCTGTCTTGAGGGTTGGAATTCCCAGTAGAGAGGAGGGTTTGGTGGGAAGATGCTTTTCCCACCTCTCTCCGGCGATGCTGCAACCTTGCCCTGTAACACCCCCTCCTTGGAAGCCGTTCCCATGAGGCAGCACCTGCGAGGCCAGCTCGAGGGATTGCAGGGGAAGGTGGCACCCAGCTCCAGCAGAACCAGGTAGCAACCGTTTTCCTCCTCCTTGTACCAGAGTGTGTGATCCCCATCCCCTCCC